CTCTTTCTCTCAGTTATCCCTCTGGTGGGTGGTTGGAGGGCGCCATTGGTAGGTCCTACTTCTTTCTTTCCTCTCAGTTGTCTCTGTCTGTCTATTGCAGATGGTTGGGAGGGGGGGGGCACCACTGGTAGGTCCTACTTTTCTTCTCTTTGTTATTTCTGTCAGTCTGTCTTGCCTTGTGGGTGGTTGGCGAGTGCTTTGGTATGGTTTGCTCCTTCTTTCCTATCAAACACCTATCGTCCTTATCTCTCCTCCTTTTTTGTGTGTGTTCGTTACTCTCTTGTAACACATCTATTCTTCGCCACTTATATGACCTTATTGTGTTGCAAGTGCCGAAAATCTCTTACTAGAATAAACTGTCTTGCCTTTTCCCCGACACTAAAGAACCGTTCTCCGCGTGTTGGTGTGCTTCTCTTTACTCAAACAAAATAGACAAGTGGGTGGTTGGCGGGTGCTCTGGTGTGGTTTGCGCCTTCTTTCCTGTAAAAAAATATATCTTCTCTATCCCGCCTCCTTCTTTTTTGTGTTTGTTATTTTCTTGTAACGCTTCTAATCTCCGACACTTATATGACCTTATTGTGTTGCAAGTGCCGTAAAACTGCCACTGCAACTAAAACTAAAATAGACAAATCATTGTCCACCTACCAAAGACGGAAGTGACTCCCGCCCTGGGAAAAAAAGTCTCTGGCGGCTTCGTCAAAATGAGTTGCGCGCTCGAAAAATTGTTTGCGTCTTTTGGAAGAACTGGAAGAATCTTGATCAGAGGTCTCAAGCTCAAATTCCCCGGGGGGCGCTGGCGGTAGAGTCTGGGTAGTGGTGGTTGGCGGGTACTCCGGTGTGGTTTGCTTCTTCTTTCTTGTCAAACATCTATCGTCCTTATCTCCCCTTCTTCTTGTTGTATGTTTTGTTTTTTTTCTCTTGTAACAGCTCTAATCTTCTAGCGCTCATATGACCTTATGCAGTTGCGAGCGCCGTAAAACGTCTACTAAAACTAAAACTAAGAGTCTGGGTGAGTTCGTGCAGCCTCAAGTATTTCACACACACGTAAAAAGGTATTTTATTTTTAAGTACAAATTTGAAATCTTTAGATGGTCTGGGGAAAAGTACTTTAAGAGAGATCAATTTTTTTATTCATTCAAATGTCAGCTTAAGTCGTTTCTGTTTTTTAATTAAAAAGATGGATATTTGGAATAACTTTCTTTAGTCAGAACACAAGCGTTTTATGTTACTGTTGTCCGTTGTACGTGGAACTGTATTGTAAAGCGCTTAGAGCCTGTGTACTTCAATCGGGGTTGAGCGCCTTAATATAAATGTCATTTATTATTATTGTTATTAAAAAGCTGCCTCTAGCTAGAGGACTGGACAGGCACGCCAGATTATGAAGGTGTGTGGTCTTGCTGTCTTTTCCCATCTGATACTTGCGGCATTTGGCGATGTGACCTTGTGAAACAAAACAGCTCATCTACGCTGCGTTCCTCCTCAGCATTTATGTAGCGTAGGCTGTAAGTGGCAATGGTTTAGCGGTGTGCAAGAAATATAGATAGATGTAGTGAATTTTTGTGTAAAAAGTGAAAGACGGTTCGGATGTTCGGTGTGGTTTGAATGTAGTTTGTTTTGTTGTTGTTGTTTTGTTTTATTTTGACAACGAATTGTTTTTGTTTGTTTTTGTTTTTTTATTGGATTTTTTCTTGCTTGGCTTTTTTATTTGGTTTTCTTTTGTTGTGTGTGTGTGTTGTTTTTTTAATTG